TATTGTTCACTGAAGCCTGGCGAACGTTGTCTCCGCAAGAAGTATGCTGATGCCTTTAGTCTACTTGTGGTTACCAACTCTGCTGGTGCTCCACCGTCCATTTACCTTGAATCACTCTATCAAATTGGTTCAAAGTCAGAGATTACAGCAGTCATAACCACTACCAAAACCTTACCAATTTTTTTTTAAATTTTTGCCGTGGACTGTGGCTGGGGAATAAACTGCATCTTGATTTATTTTGGGAGAGACCAGACAAGTCCAGATGAAGCCAGTATTACACAACAAAAAATAGGAGTACGGTGCTTCCTTACTGCCTTTTCCATCCTTAAATAAGGAGTCGACACTGCTAAAGCCTCCTCTGATAAGCATTCATTTTCAGCAACCATACCAACGTTTTGCATGGCGTCTCCCTGTCTTTGATCATGTAGTGCTATGAGACACGGAAAGATGGTTATTTTATATGACTTACTTTTTTAATGATTAATGACTTAGCATTGCTATTGCATAATTATAAGACAGTGTCTCATTATTCTTATAATTGTGAGAAATGTTACAACACTGACTTGGCAAAATCAGGCTGTTTGGAAGGTTTATTAGTATTTATCTCAAAATAAGATGAATGCAGATGAGATGACTTGATATTACTATGATTCAGTATCTCATAATTCTGACTTACAATTTCATTATCATGAGATCTCTTTATTATGACTTACCATTTTTTTGTGGTGGAGATGGACTTTCAAATACATAGTTACTAGTGCTAAGTTGAAGCAACATACAATTAGGCCAGCCACAATGTATAAGTTCTATTCTAAACCTTTTTAAAATATTAGAATATTGATGTTAGATTAAAATTATGTCAGTTTCTAGGACCAAATATTAGCAATGCTATGTTCAACAATTTACAATTAAGTGTCTAAACAATTAACTGTGTCTTAAATGCCTAGCAAATACATGTGGCAGCTACTTACTAGCTACTAGCTAGAAATTACTAGCTTTCAAATTGTGATATTAGATTAAACTGTATCTTTCTCTCTATTTTTAATGTTCTTTTTGTCTTCCACTCCCTCCATTTCTCTCATTTTCTTTGTGTATCTCTTGTCACTGTTTCTCTTACTTACTTTGTGCAGGGCTGTATTTAATTCAATGGGCTTTGGGTGTTTGGGGCCCAGGGGGCTCCACCAGGATTATCGCAAATGGAATATTCAATGTGATTAACCACAACAACAACAACTATGCTCTCGTCCATCTGTTCCTACAATTCTAATGCTAATTAACAAACTGGCTCGCCTGACTCCTTTCCTTCTACCGATCCAAGTAATTTCTTTGTCCTTTCTGCAGTTTCATGATCTTTTAACAAGCTGCATAAATTTGTTAATAATGCCTTATAAGTAGGCTAGATTGTCATTGTTTTTTCCTGCTGTTACACTGCATTCATAATTCTATCACGAAGCTAGACACATAAAACTAAACAAACATCTTAAAAAGGTATGTATAAGTTGTGTTCTTAGAATAAAAAATAAATTGATAGCCTACTCTTTTCATTATGTTTACTTTTTTGCAAATTAAATGGATAAACAAGGACTACTCAGAGCTTAAGCTGACAGCCTGATTGTAGGTAAGATAAAAAGACAAAAGGCATTTATCATACATTTCATTTTTAAAAATTATGTGTTTATAGCAGTCAGATGCTCAACATCATGCAGTTAGTGTGCTGCATAGTCCTCATGTAACCTATAAATGTTTAGAGCTGAGTATATTAACAAAAATATAAAGGGTACTCTTAACAAGCACATTGCTACCTTGCTAGAACTTCGTCTATATTTCACTTAATCATAACCAGAAAGGGCAGATTTACTAAGAGAGGCACCAATTATCAACACTTTGATCTGGTGGGGGTTCCAAAAATAGCCTGTTATCTTCTAAGAATGTCCTTGCAAATGAACACATGCAACTGTGATTAACATGTGATCTGTGCAATATAACCACGTTTCAGTCACATGCTTTTTAAAAGAAAGAATTTTAGTCATCTGTTTCAGGTTTAAAATGTGACTCATTAAGTCTAGGTAATGGTGTATTTTCTCAAGATTTTGATTAAGCAAGTCAAAATGATGACAAAATAAAAAAAAAAGATCAAGATAATTTCAACATAATTATGGAGAAAATAAATTATTTTGTCAGTAATATTTTTTACTTTCTTTTTTTGCGGCACATTCTTTTTCAGCTAGTGTGGAATGAGCTGAACTTGAGTTCTCTGCAGAGCACATTTAGAAACTGTGTGATTGTAAAATCCCTGTATAATTGAACTGAGAGCACTCAGGCCGTTTGAGAACTGTACCACTTTGAGAGTAACCTCTTTCTGCATGTGCACACATAAACCGCAGAAGCCACAGCATGCAGGAATAATGAAGTAAGGGGTAGCTTTAGTATCACTATATGCTTTTCACAATCATTTGAAAAAAGAAACCATCAAATCATTATTTAGGCAAAACTCAGCATCTCAAGCTCCTGCTGCTTTTTTAGTGCCAGCCTGCAACTAACATTCTGCTCCATCCCCTTATGTAACAGTAATGCGTCTGATCCAGCCAATCAAGGACTACTGAAGGAGTTAATTATTTGGAGCAGGTGTGGCAGATTGTGGTTAGAACTAGAATCTGCAGAAAGGCAGATCTCCAGGACCAAGTGTGAGTCTAGGTTTATCAGCAATTGCAAAGTTTCACCTGCATAGACAAAAAAGTTACAAAATGTAACTGACACACAATTTAAAGTGGAACAGAAAATTGTTGCGTAGTCGCTGTTGAACCAGTTAACTCTGCAGTCTGACATTGATTGAAAGTCCGACCTCTGCCAGAAAATAAAAGCTTAAAAAAGAAACTTTGCCATGCTTGCAGTCAATCTGCAGTTTCAGTTGATTATGGTCAGTCTTTACTATTAATATTACTATTACTCGATAAATCAGAGTAGGTCCTTCATTATAGTAATATCCTTCCAGTATTGTGCACTTTGAGAGGAAACTGCTCTAAATGAATTTGCAGTAAGGCAAAAACACAAAAGACTAGCAACTGACCCTTTGATTTTATTATGCTAAAGGCCTGTTGCACTTGAATGCCAAAATTGAGTATATGATAGTGTAAAACGTTAGTAAATCTCTCCTAAAACTCTTGAACATTCTGTTCCCGCCCCACTCACCTCAACATCTCTAACACCATCCTATCCCTATATGCCCCATTGCCATCCTTACACAATTCCCATGCACCCCAGCAGTGTCACATTATTGCAACATATGCCCATACTGTCCCTGTACAATTTTCTATACAATAAACCATTTCTAATTCAACTTGTTTTAATAATCACACTTAGAGCTATACAAGTATAAAGATATAACAGGACTCCGCAAATATAAATATTTGTCCATTTTTCAATGGGTGGGCTTTTTTAATTGTACACATGAAAGAGTCCAACTTGTTCTGGTAGCCCTACTACTACTAGTACTGATGCACAACCAAGGTTTGTTTGTTAATCAAATGTTCATTCAAATGATCTCATATTACCAATTAAACAGCAAATGAAACGACTCAGCTTAGAGCAAGCTGATGTTTTGTTCATTCTACTGTCTGTGTTCCACTGATGGTGAGGTTTACTGCACAACCAAATCCAAAATTCGTTTTTTGAATTATTTTTTTTTTGCCTTTTAAAATGAGTAGAAAACAACATCCAGTCTTCCAGGCTTTTAAGTGTTCCTCAGTCATGTCTAACCATTTTTGGAGCTTTACATTCACATATGTACCTTGGAATCGCTGACTAAAGAACTAGACCTTTAAGATAATGATGGACTGCTAAGCAGTTTGATAGCAATGATTGCTATGCAGTGATTGGGGGGGCTAAGAAAATAAGGTATAAGATCGGTCTGAGAATGAGATCAGTCTGTTAAAAAAATAATGCTGGGTTATGCATAGGGAATGAACTGAACTGGCCCATTCTTTACCACTCCTGCAGTGTCAGTAGACAATTCATTGCTGTTACCATAAAGTTGATCCCCAGTCCGGTTTCCACCCTAGGAAATAAGCAATATACCAGGGGATCAACGTGGAAACTGCTATCACCGTTCCTGTGCAGCTTCCAGCTGTGACAGAGTTGTTCACAATTGAGTCTTGTGTCTCTGAAGTACAAGTCTGAGTTGACTTTCGGGGTGTGAGTCCCAGTCTTGAGACTTTAAGGTGCGAGTCTAAATTGAATCTAGAGTCTCTGGGATGCAAGTCAGAGTTGAGTCGAGTTTTGAGGCTCTGAGGTGTGAGTTGGGGTTAAGTCTCGAGTCTCTGGAAAGCATTCAAAGTCAAGCCTTGAGTCGTTGAGTCTCTGAGGTGCAAGTCTGCGTCATGAGTCTCTGGGGTGCAAGTCTAAGTCAAGTCTTAAGTCTCTGGGGTGTGAGTCTAAGTCAAGTCTTCAGTCTCTGACGTGTGAGTCTGAGTCTCAAGTCTCTGGGATGCAAGTCTGAGTCTTGAGTCCCTGGGGTATTAGCCTGCGTTGCGAGTCTCTGGGGTGTTAGTCTGAGCTTTGAGTCTCTAGGGTGCAAGTCTGAGTTGAGTTGCGACTCAGTTAAGGGAAAGTCCAAATAGAATCGCCAGTCAGTTAAGTGTGAGTTCAAATTGAGTCGCGAGTCAGTTACGCATGTATCTACGCCAAGTTTGCACATCGCTCTCTCTCTCTTTCTCTCTCTCTCTCTCTCTCTCTTTTCCTCATTTTTTTGTGTCCCCCCCTCCCCCTGGCTTTCTCACTTACTTTGTGTATCTCTCTCTTGCTCTGTCTCTCCCGGTCTATTACTGTTCTCTGTCATATGTTCACCAACAAACTACAAACAGCTGTGTACAAAAAAATGCAGCAGTAGAGTAGAATGGCATGGCAGGTTAAAATGAGCCTCAATAAAGGAATGCATACAAAAATACACTTCCTCTTCATCATCAATAAGTACAATAATATATTAATATCATGTTCATATTTACCTGTACTGCTTGCGAGTGTCGTATCTGCCTGCGTTAGTCTCCCGGATCTTCGTCGCCAGAACTCGGACGATATTAACGAACAGGATAAAGTTGAGCTGAAAGGAAAACACAATGACAATTTTGACAACTTCTGCTCACATTTCTTGTCTATAAACAAACAAATACACTAACTGGCCACTTTATTAAGTACACCTCCTTGTTTCTACACTCATTTTATCAGCTCCACTTACTATATAGGCGGACTTTAGTTCATCTGTTTCTCTGCATACTTTGTTAGCCCCTTTTTACCCTGTTCTTCATTGGTCAGGACCCCCTTAGGATCACCACAGAGCAGGTATCATTTAGGTGGTGGATCATTCTCTGCACTGCAGTAACACTGATGTGGTGGTGGTGTGTTAGTGTGTGTTGCACTGGTATGAGTGGATCAGACACAGCAGTGCTGCTGGAGTTTTTAAACACCTCAGTGTCACTGCTGGACTGAGAACCATAAACATCCAGCCAGCAGCGTCCTGTGACCACTGGTGAAGGATGAGGGGTTGACCAACACAAACTGTGCAGCAACAGATGAGCTACTGTCTCTGACTTTACATCTACTAGGTGGACCAACAAGGCAAGAGTGTCTAATAGAGTGGACAATGAGTGGACACAGTGTTTAAAAACTCAGTGTTACTGCTGTGCTGAGAATGATCCACCACCCAAATAGTACCTGCTCTGTGGTGGCCCTGAGTGGGTCCTGACCATTGAAGAAAAGGATGAAGGGGGCTAATAAAAGTATGCAGAGAAACAGATGGGAGCTACTAGCTATTGTAAGATCTTTATCCTGCCAGTGTCATTGCAGTTCACACCTCCAGACTTTAAAAACCGCCATGTTACCTTACGGAATTCAGTGTCAGTCAACCATGACTTTATTACTTTTGTTTTGCTATACTATTCAAATGTAACTACTATGGCTGTTAAAATGGACACTTGCACACACTGGCTTTTGTTTTTACCAGTGATAACTGCAACTTCTAAGGCATTACACAGTGAAATCTTCACTGTTACCATAATGCTGACATACCACTGGTGACCGCAGCAAGGACAGTGGCGCCATTGTTTGTATACCATTAGATGATAAAGCATCCTGACAGATAAAATACAGCCATAATTTGCTGTGTGGTTCATGAGGGTAATAACAACAGCAACAGAAAACAAAATAGTATAAGCTTTAATAGAGTCTGCAGTCTGATGCTGTAAGAAGAAAGAGGCTGAAGAGCTGAGGCAGCAAAGGAGAAATGTTTGGAGAGTGAGAATAAAATGAAAACTTACAGCCATCTCTCTACACCAAAGTCTGCTCTCATCAGTCTGCTACTTTAAAGGATGACATTGAAGGATGAATTCTGTAGGTTTGCCTTTGTGCTGAAAATGGTTCACTGTTGACAACTGACACTGATGACTGACTTACGCAGCTTTAACTATTTACGTCTAGATGTCTTACGCTTCAGCTAGACAATGAATGCAGTAAACGGCAGAACATTAACAGGGCTCCCGTTAGCTTAAGCTCATGTTGAATAAACACAGATTAAACCTATCAAACAGAGATACTTCGCCATGACTCCCTTTCATGATCATGATATTTGATGGTGTTGCTGACGGTATAGACAGAATATTCCTGACATAGACCGAATAAATGATTCAAGTGATGTGTTAGAGATGTTATGATATGTTATCACGGGCAATAACACATCGTTGTAACCCCAAAGTAACGTATCAATCTGGTAAAGATCAACATCTCTGATTTTTCTTCCAAAAATCCAGTCACCTTGACTTGCTAATACTAGACAATTCAACAGTGGAGAACCTTGACTATTAATGCTAGTCCAGGGCAGAAATGTGAAAATGTTCAAAAAAGAAAACACATCTACAGTAATGCTACTTTCTGCTAGCACCCCTATGGAAATCTAGTAGTATGTTAATGATTTACATGAAAATAATTAAACATGGACATTTCAAGCCTGCAAAAGACATTCAATATTTTCTTTTTAAGCTTCAAACAGACACTAATATCTATTTTACCTTACATGTTGTAGATTTACAGTAACAAGCCCAGCTGCCACCAATGTATGCAATTTCTGACATCTGACTGTAATGCATTTGTCACTTGTATTTTCAGTCAGTTGTGTATCTAGGACATTTAGAGGGCCTACAGTGTTTTTCCTCACAAAACTGGTCCCACCCATTGGAAATCAAAACATTATTAGTTTCATTGTCACTTTCTAATTATTTTAGTGGTTAATCTGTGTTAGGCCTTCAGTTCAGCTCCTGAAGTCTTAACCAATAGAAGAGCTTGCTTGGCTCTATCCACATATAAACCACATAGAAAAAAATCATGGGGAAACAAGTATTATTTCCAACTAGAAGTTGGAAGTATTACTACAATGTATGTATGTAGAGCTTAAATACATCAAGTGTGATTCATCCAATAAAAACGAAAAGAAGTACAGATGTTTTTTTTTCATTTCATAGAAATTGTTAGGCTTTCTCTGAATGCCCCAATGGTCCTCAGTGACCTGGATGATTGAAAACCTTGACAGACATGAGTTGAGTATTCATAAACTATGAACTATTATGCTTTCAAATTTCTAATCGTTTTCACATTTATAAAACCTGACTGCTTTGATTTGCTACTGCTACACAAAACACAGTTCTGCTTTAACCACAGTTCAGTTTTTGTCCCTGAGCTTCTAATTCTCCTAAGAGTGGCAATGACCTATTTATAAGCCACAAAACCGGTTGAATACTACTCCACCGCTAGCGTCCATGTTTTTCTGCCCTAGGATATCCCCCATTTAGAATTTACTTCCAACCCAAAGCTAATTCACCTGAGCCAGTAATCAAGGCCTTCTAGACCGAATACTCCGAGCCAATTCAACCAGGCAAAGGCTGGGATTGAACTCTACAGGAAGGTACAGCTCCACAAGCAAAACACAAACCCCTTTTTAAAAAATATTTTCTAGTGAATTTAGCCAGGTGTGTAGAGCACAACCTGTGTGTACCCAACCTTAAGCGACCACTCATCATCAACGTGGATTAATTGGGTTGCTTTTATTTTCCTGACAAACCATAGGAGCAAGCATATTTACACGCTTTCACATAATTACAGTCTTCTCTCTGGCTCAGAGGGGAGGCAGACTCTCTCTCTCGGGCCTGTGTCCAATTCTGGCGGCGGTGTCGTGTTCCACAAAGCCAATAATTATGCGGATAATGTTCACGTTAGTGCACGCTTGCCCGCCATGCACAGATAAATATACCCCGTCCGCTCAATCAATCAGCCAGGCCTGCTCAATTATAGCGCAGCAGTCATAGCCAGAACAGAGTGCAGCCATGAATATGTCCTTTTATACACAACTGGATTCTGAACGCTTCTTTAAATGCATAACCAGTTCAGATTTGATTGCTGGAAAGTAAGAGAACTGCTGTTAATGTTAATATTGAGGTAACAGGATTAATGTTACTAAACTGAATATTTTGAATTTTTTTGATATTGTTTAAATTTCTGTACAAAAGTGTATTTACTAGGTATGTGCCTAGTGTCAGGACTAACAGTCTGACACCACTAGTGAAAAAGCCTCTAAGTTTTTAATTACAAATTATATTACCAGGATAACAATGTGAGTAATCAAGAGAATTTTTTAATTTTAACATGAATTTCAGAATTTCTTAGTTTTTGCCCCCCTTTTGCTTTAATGACAGTGTGCAGCATGCAAGCTGGCATGGACTCACTAACAGCAACAAAAGCCTCTGATGAGTAGATCAGACCCACCTGAAAGTCACCTGAACATGAACTTCAATGAAAGGAATAAGAATATAGACCTTTCTGTACAAAGACCTGAATGTGGTCAATGTCACAAATTTGCTTAGATTTGAATAGTGACCTGGAAATAGTACAGATTCATGAATATTTTCCTTCATTTAACTTGTCATAAATGTTGTCTATTTGCAGGATTAAATGAAAACAATCCTAGGCTTTCAAAGTGGTCTTAGAATTGTGGAAGCCGCTGCACATCAGAAACACATACAAGTTGTATATACATACATCCTGTTGAAAGGGACCACAGTAGGACCACCACTGACCAGATGACAGATCACTAGACAGAAGCTTGACGGTGAACTTTGTATAGAGACTATAAGCTTTGGGGCAGATTTATTAACATTTTGTGCCGTTATTCCTGTTTTGGTGTTAAAAAATCTGTCATAATTTACTATTTAGTGTCTGTTAAAGATGAAAGGGACAGTCGCTGCTCTTTTGCACTTTGGCCTCATTGCACATGCATTGAAAATACAGTAAATACTGACTGTGTTATTTAACACTTGTTTGTGGGTTCAGACCATGCCTTCAACATGGTGGTGGTAGCATGTGCGAAGACTGATTCAGGGAGGGAGGAGAGCTCTAAGAACTTGGGCTGGAGTTCTGGGCAGTTTTAGCCTGTAGCTAGAAGGTCAGATCCCCCCTGATAGCTGTAGTAGGACTGATGTAGGACTGAGGAACAGGGAGGAGATGGGGTGGCCCTTCATCATGGGAACGGAAAGTGAGGATATGAATTTATAGGGTGTTAAATTGGAAGAAGGAGGGGTTTCAGGCATGTTCCTCCCCCAAAACTTCAGTTATAACATAACTACACTGAAAAGCTTGTCTTATGGCACTACCGTAGCTGCTGTTGTTTTTGCTGAGACAGAGAAAAAAAGAGAGAGTTTAACATTTTGTGAACATCTAACATGGTTTTTTATTCTTAATTTAAAGAAACAAATAAAAACCCTAACCAAAATGTTTTGGTAAAACAGTGTTGTAAACCTCTGTCTCCTAATACTGTGGGTACATTTTACACTCGTCAAAATAATGATTTGATAGTTTTCTTTCCCAAACTACAGTGAAACTCAATGGCTCTGCAATTTCTGCATTTCTAAAGCTACTTATTTCTTCATTCATGTTACGGCTTCTGAAATGTCACAGCCATGGTTTGATGCACTGCACAGAACTAGCATGACAGCCAAAATCATACAGTTTCCAATTCGGCAGGAAGCACTGAGTTCAGCTCATCCCACCAGCTGAAAATTTACTTGTGCTCCAAAACACAAAGTCAAATAAATTACGGAGTCTTTTATGTATCAAACCAATATCTTAATCTTGAAATTAAAATCTTGAGAAGTTGTCATTTAAACCTAATGAGACAATCTGAACCAGAATCAGAAGACAACAAACAAACCATGTACTTCTATAATTTACATACAACACTAATGAATACACGTCTAATAGTGGTGCACTATTTTGCATACTATTCAGTGCTGCAGTATACAGGTGGAGACGCAGTCCATTTCTCCTACCTGGTGGAAATGAACTTCCATACAAAATACAAGTCAAACACATGGCTGTATTGTGCTGGTCATACGTTACACCTGTGTTCATTTGCATAGACGTTCTTAGTAGATAACCTGCTATATTAGCCACCCCTAAATGTTGGTAGACTGTTGGTAATTAGCACCTCTTTTAATAAATCTGCCCCATTATCTCATTCCATGCACAGCATGTGATAGTCATCATCCAGCCCTTCAACAGCCTCTGTTGAACAACTAAGGTAAGCTAAAAATATTGCGGGGTGAGACAGAGCCCTAGATCGAGAATGCTAAGAAGGTTATCTGTAATTTAAATGACACAACTTATTAGAACCCTAAATGAGTTGTAGAAGATATACTGTTTTTTTTTAGGAAGTCCAGTAAGAAGAGCATTACAATAATCAACTCTGCTTGTAATAAATGCATGAACACGTTTCTCTGCATCACTCTGAGACAGAAAAGTCTGAACTTAGCAATATTTCTCAAATGATAGAAAGTTACTTTAGTGACTGCGTTTACATGCGGGATAAAACAGAGCTCGGAGGTTTCACCTGGGTTTCATACTTCGGTTTGGTATATGAAGCAAAAGAACCCAGCATGTTAGTACCAGTAGTATCAGTATTTTAGATTTTTCTAATTTTACAGATGGGTTACATTCCTGGCAATCTAATTGTGTCACTCTCAGGCTGCATGTGTAATGCAATTTGATCTGTCCTGTTATTGCAGCCCTTAACAATGTATTTATCATAGACAATCATATAACGATAAGAGATTCATTCTGCAGCCTGAGAGTGAATGATTATTTTTCATTTTCATAGTACATGGAAAACGGATATGGTGGTTGTCTGCTGCTGCATGAATCTGAATAATCATTTAAATATGCTCCAATCTTACATTGTCAACTTATGACTAACTAGGGCATTCTTGTAAAAGGCATTTTCAATTTAAGTGCATCCAACTTGAATAATTAAGAGATAAATACAGTAAAAAAAAATCTTGTGCAGTAACTGAAAAGTCACACATCATTTCTACTTCAGAACTTTTCAAAACCACAAAAGGTTTCT